CTCAGCGACTTGCTGGGCCCTTTTACGTCCACCTGACCACACCTTCCCTCACAACACAGAGGCTCTAAGTCGGGCCTGGCAGTGAGACGGGCTCAGACACACGTGCTGCCCGTACCAGCTTAGCTCAGGCCTTGCCTGGGCAGCGTGGGGAGAGGAGCGAGCAGGCGGTCGGCACTGTGTAGAGTGGCAAGGATAGGACTGTCCCTGGGGAAACACTCAGGGTTGCTGCAGCCAGCAGCGGCATCCAGGTTTGAAGGGTCCCCCCAGCAGAGCAACAGCGTAGAGTGTAGCTGTGGGTCAGAACCCAGCTAACCTGAAGCAAGTCTTTCCCTTTTGGCTGGAGCTCCACTGCTCTGCTTGGGGTTCCTGGGGTCCAGTGAGGGGTGGCGGTCAGGGAGGAACAAGCCCTGGCTACACACAGCTTGCTTCCCACAGCAGAGCGTGCCTGACCAAACAGGAGGCCATGGTCAGCTGCAAGACCACTTGGATGCCTGGCCTCTCCCCATCTTAAACTCCTGGTGAGGCCAGTGCGCGGCAGGCATGTGGCAACTGGACATGCAGGCATGCAGCTGGCCCTGCTGCGTCTGCTCCCCATACTGGATTGGAACACGGGCTGCACTTACTTGTTTCTTTGGCTTGTGAGAAAATGGTTATGGACATGCACCAAGCTGCCTAAAAATGTAAACTGTCCCCCACTTTCTGATGCTAGGAGGGGTGAACCGAAGCCGAGAACGAGAACACAACAGAACTCTGGGCGCTCACGCAGGAGCCCAGCATCACCAGCAGAGGCTGCCAGTCTCTGGAGACGGGCCGACCACGGCACGGCTCCCACAGCAGTGCCCTGACCCGTCACAAGCGACAGCTCCATGACAGAGATACGTAAGCTGTTAAAATGCCTCCAATGGAAAGAAATGTCTGTTTTTAAGGAAATCAGTCAACCTATAAACCTTACTAGGGTTTTAACAGACTCTCAGGAAGTCTAGGCAATCATGCCAAAACACCCAGTAACACTGTGGTACCAGCAGTACCAGCACCTTAAGGGCAGGGTCCCAGGCGGTGGCTCCACGAGCACCAGGAAGCCCTGTCCACAAAAGACTGTGATGTAAATTCCACAATTCGCACAACAGCACAGCTGAGCAGTGTTGAGATGGTAAACATTAAGACAGATTTCTACGTGGGAAAGGTCTTAATTGGACCGGAAACAGCTCCTCAGGCTTTCAGTGCAAGTTTAAGGATAAAGTGTAAAGCCCCAGGTACAAAATGAAAGCAAGTCACGTTAATCTTCCAACGCGCTTCTGTGCTATGGGCAGGAATGAGGGTCTCGGACACAGCACGGAACACAGCAGCAACCGAGCTCCATGGTGCCCGAGATCCTGTGAACTTGGGGCATAAAGGAAGTGACACCGCTCTCTGGAGGTGAGCAAATGTATGACAGCCTGTTCCTTCAGTAAGGGCCTGGAGCAACAGCCTGGTAGCTAAATCCTCGCCATGCACATCCAGGATTGCATATAAATGCATTCATGTCCTGACTCTCCCCCTTCCCTTCCAGCTCCCTGCTTGCGGCCTGGGAAAGCAGTGGAGGATGGCCCAAGGCCTTAGCACTTTGCATTTGCATGGGAGAACAAGAAGCAGCCCCTGGCTCCTGGCTTCAGATTAGCTCAGCTTTGGCCGTTGAGGACAGTTGCAGAGTGAACCGGCAGACAGAAGAACTTTGTCTCTCCTTCACTCCGTAAATCTGCCTTTCTAATAAAAATAAATAAATCTTGGGGCAGCGGGGGGTGGAAGAAGGGCGCTGGATGCTTCTGGCTTCCTATCAGTATGGGATAACGCTCTGAGCCCTAACCTTTGCTCGGACACTTTGTTTCTCCATGATGTCCTTTTAGACATGCAGGGGCTGTGGCTTGCAGCTTTCTGATGCAACCTCAGCTCTAACAAGGCTGATTCCTGCTGGCAACCTGACTTGGTGTATCTGCTGGCCTGCTAAATGTATTTAAAGTAACATGCATGATTTTCCTATTGATTAAATTCCTCCCAGGTTTCCTTATTGTATCTTCTGGCTGGCCAGAAAACTTGGGGCTTCTTCCTCTCCCGTCATGGATGTGGAAGAAATACACGCTGTATCCCCGCTCACACGCGGACAGTCCTGTCCCTTCACTTCTCATACGAATTCCGAGCTGTTATCAGGACGAAGGACACGGGGGCTGTTTCTAAACATCAAATACATACACACATCACCTCGGAATTGTGTCTTCCTGACTTGTTCCTAAATCCGAAGCCAGACCCTGGTTTAGCTCCGCTTGCCTTGGCACCACCTTGCTCCACGTGCCATGCTCTCTGGCTGACAGGAGAGGGCTCTGTCCCAACCCAGTGACCCCCTATCTTGCTGCTGAGCTGGGGGTCGGGGAGTACCCCTTCTGCTGTGCGGGCTGGGTCAGGTGCCTGAGGCTGAGCTCAGCACCATGCCCAGGGCGGGCTGGCTGGCACACATAAAGCCCTTCTTCAAACCCAGAGCTCCGATTCCTCCCATCTTGAAACTCTACACCTCAAGTCGTATCTTTGGCTGCCAGAATGTATTTAAAAACCACACAGACATACTGGGGGGAAAAAATCAATGCCACTTACTGTGGGTGGATCCGACTGGACTTTCTGCTGTGAAACCTGAGTCATGTTTGAGTAATGAAATAAAGAAGCTAAAGTGCACAGCTAGCACAGGAATCACCTCGGGGTCAGTATCTTTAAAAATATTTGCTGCTAGGGACAAAAAAAAAAAAAAAAGATGCAGGTTCCCAACCTGCTGACTCAGAGGGAGGGCTGCCTTCACCCCATTTTTAACAGACTCCTGTGCTTGATGCCCTAGAAAACATCGTTCTCCACCTGATTACAAGTTCACTGTAGGAAAAGAAAAGTCAATGGGAGAAAGACAATCACAACCAACACGACTCGAAGCCCACACGGTGAGAGGTGCCTTGCCAAGGCCGCGGCAATGGGACTGGAGCCGCCTCTGATGGCTGGCCCGAGCCGGGGAAAACCTGCCTGGGCTGGACGCAGGGCTCAGGACAGACGGCTGTGCCACCGCTGCAGAAGCCAGCATAAGAAATGAGGTCCACAGGGCCAGGAGGGAAAGGCGCAAAGCCCCAAGCCCAGGTGGACCCCTCTAAGGCTCCTCCCCACCCTGTGACTTCCTGCAGCCGCTCACGGTCAGTCGCCGCGTCAGCCCTGGACCAGGAAGCAGGCCCCTCTTGTGGTCAGCGGACGGTCTGACCCTGGACAACTTCACATCTCGAGCCGCGCGACGCCGGCCTCTGGCTGGGTCTCCTGGCTCCCTGCCTCAGGACAGTCCCGCCAGTGCCGCAGCCCTGCCACGCCCTCCCATCACCCAGCTGCTCCTGAGCCCAGCGCTGTGCCATGACAGGCGCGCCCCGGCGGGCTGCGGCCCTGCTGAGGCAGGTATGGGCGGCGCCCAGTCACGGCCTTTGGAGGGACGCCGCCGTGGGGACACAACGCGCCCATTACGTAGCAGGGCTATTCACGGCAGACCTTGTTCCAGACAGAAGGAAGAACAGACCCGGGTCACTTCTGACCAGAAATACAAGACGACACTTCGTAACTGGCCCTTAAAGGCACAGACACGGCCACTACCATCAGGAGCGCTGCAAACATCCCAGCTGGCCATGACTTCACGATCAATGTATCCAATTCACAGCAGAAAAGAGTTAAGAACCCAAGACAGATGACTTAAGTAAAAGGATTCATCTACTTTTCACGAAAAAAGTTAACAATAATAAAAGTACCTAATTTTTAAAAAGCCTGCTTCCTACACTGCCGTGTTCAAACACAACAATAAACATGAAATAAATGAATGACTTTTTAAAAAGTCTAAGCTTCCTGAGTAATCGCACAATGACACAGGAGTAATTATTTTAAGGGTTCTCAGTTGGGTGTCCACAGGGAGGGTCTTCAAGAAGTACACGCAGACTGCTAGCAGGAAAAAAATGCTGCAAGTAGTTCCAATTCTCCAACAAAATAATCTTCCTATTACATTGCCACAGACTTTTTTTTTTGAAGCTCCCTCTTATACACACACACACATATATATGTACACACAAAATCACATTATAAAGCTTTCTTTCAAACATATCTGGAAAATTCACCCAAAAGAAATATATTTCAAGTCAATTTGGGGAGTAAAATCCTCACTGTACATGTCAGTAGCTTTTTTGTCCTCAATGACGAGCAAACGCAGAGAAGACACACAGAGCGCCATTGAAACAAAACACACACCGCTCAGGAAGTACCTCTGAAACCCCAAAGTTTAAACTTGGCAATGCTAGCTGGATGCGCTCACGGGCGCTGGGCAGGCTGCAGGTGCTTTGCTTCACCTCTCAGCTGCTGCTTGGGGCTGCTTAGAGACCCCATCTCAGCCAACAGGGGTTAGAGACCCCGCCTCAGCCCTGGGGTTACAGACCGCACCTCAGTCCCGGGGTTAGAGACCCCACCTCAGTCTGTGGGGGTTAGAGACCCCACCTCAGCCCCGGGGTTAGAGACCCCGCCTCAGTCCAGGGGTTAGAGACCCCGCCTCAGCCCCAGGGTTACAGACCGCACCTCAGTCTGTGGGGGTTAGAGACCGCACCTCAGCCCCGGGGTTACAGACCCCGCCTCAGCCCCGGGGTTAGAGACCCCACCTCAGTCTGTGGGGGTTGGACACCCCGCCTCAGCCCCGGGGTTAGAGACCCCGCCAGCCCAGCCCGGGAGACCGCCTGCGGCCCAGGGGCTCCGGCCGCAGGGCACACCCCCGCCGCACCTGCAATGCGGCTCCGGGCGGGCGGCCGCGGCCTCTCCTGCCGCACCGGGCGCACCCTGGACGCGAGCCCCCCGGGGTGCTGTCGGGGCGCCCACCCAGCCCAGCCCCCGGCGCGCGGGGAGAGGGCTTCTCGGTCGGTTCACGGCGCCGCCAGGTGAGCGCGGCTGGGACTCGCCTCACCCCGCGGGCCCCGCCTCACCTGCGGGCGCGGCCGTGGCGGCGAGTCCTTCAGGCGGTCCTCCCGCAGCCCACGGGCGGGGCGGGCAGGCCCCGGCCGGGCGGCCGAGCGAGGTCAGCGGGCGCCGCCCGCTCGCAGCATCTCGCCGGCGCCCAGCGAGCGCTCGCCGCGGTGCAGCCTGGGAACCGGCGGCCGTGAGGGGCGAGGGCCGGCGGGCGCGGGACGCAGGCGCACAGCTCAGGTGCGGCCGCACTGCGGTTGCCCCGGGTAACGCGGGCCCCGGGCGGCCCGTGGGAGGAGCGAGCGGGCGCGCGCGCGCGCCGGGCGGCGGTGCGAGGCGGAGGTGGCGCGCGTGCGTGCGCGCTCCGTCCCGCCCCCTCCCCCGGCCGCGAGCGTGCGCACGCGCGCTGAGCCCCCAGGCGTCCGGGTGTGCGGGGGGGCGCGCGCGCGCGCGGCTGGGAGGCGCACCTGTGAGGTGTCCCCGGAGGAGGAGCGGCGGGCTGGGTGCGCGGAGCCCGCGGCCCGGGGCGCCGACGCCCCTCACTTGGAGTGAGTTGGCGACGGCCGAGCTTGTGGGGTCGGCTCTGCCGGGCGGGGATCGGGGATCGGGCCGGGGGTGGCGAGGAGGCGGAGTGCATTCAAGAGAAAGGAAAACAGCCCCTCGGTGCGCACGGGCCTGGGGCCGCTCCGGGGCGCAGGGGGCACCCGGCCGAGGGCAGCGCGGCGCTCCCACCCCCGGCCCACCCCGCTCTCCGGCGGGCGGCCGGGCCGGCCGGGCCTCGGGGCGTCGTCGCGCGGCGCCGGGGGTCCCCCGATGGCGGCGGGCGCGAGGAGGGGGTGGGCAGCGGGCGAGGCCGGGCGGCGGCCCCGCGGGAGCTGGCCTCCTGGGCCGGGCTCCATTGTTGTTGGAGCCCGGGGCCGGGCAGGGAAGGGGGAGCGCGGCCGCCCTCGGATCGCCGTGGGGCCGCGCGCCTTGGAGCCGGTCCAGGCGGGTCCCCGGGAGAGGCCGGTCAGGGCCGCGCCGGGGGCTCGGGGCGCAGGGCTCCGAGGTCGGGGCGCCCCGCCAGCGCGGTTGTGATGGCGTGTGTTCGCAGCGCCGGGTCCGGCAGAGGCCACGAGCATCCCGCGCAGGTGATGAGGAGCCCTGGGCGCACGGGGCCACCGCCGCCGGACGTCTCCATTGTTTGACCGCAGCGAGGGCCGCTTCTCCGGCAGGTAAGCGGGCTGGCACCGCCTCGCCTCCCGCCCCCGCAGGACCCGGGGCCTGGCTCGGGACGCGGGTCGCCCTCCAGCCCTTTGTGAAACCTGCTTTGCCCGACTCTCAACTCCCCCGCGGTTCCAGTTGCTAGTTTGTTGCCTGGCCCGCTCGGTGCAACAAAGGAGCCCCGAGAGCGGAGAAGGGTCCCCGGAAAGCTCTCTCGAAGGAGCCGTTGCGCAGTGTGGACGTATGTTGTCTCAGCAGGATGAAGCTTTTTTTTTCTTTAATAGGGTGGTTTTGTCTTCCCTCCTGGGGGAGGCCCAGGTTTCTGAGAGAAATGACCTTGTGTAAACCAAAGGTTAGTGGAACGTTAGCAAATGGATTTAAAATCCGTAGAGTAATGCGCTGACTTCTTTATTGTTTATTATTATTTTTTTTTTGAGCTCACATCTCAGCGGAGGTAAACGTCTCTGGCATGTGGCACAAGTACCCTTCTGGGCTTCTGAAAATACTCGGAGTCTTTGTACTTTTTTTTCTTGCACATGTCCCTCCGGGTGCTTGCGAATACTCTCCGTGTGCGGGACATAAGCCTTGCTGGTTTGGTCGGGTACTGATGCCCTCCTGTCATGTCTCACTCTCAAGAACTGCTCTGTCATATCCCGAGGTGGGCTAATTCAGTAGGTTTTTTTTTGAGCCTTTTTCCGGGCAGAGAGCAATTGAAATTTGAATTTTGAAGCAGCTTTTGGGGTGTGAGTTCTCTGAGGAGATGGAATCTTTGCCCAGTGCTAATTACAGGGGCTAGACCGGGTGGGGGGGGGGTGAGCGGAGAGCTCTGGGTAGGAGATCTGCTTGCAGGCACACCCTTCCCCCCGAAGCAGCCATGGGCCTGTGACCTTGGGCAGGACAGCCTCAGTTTCCCCCGTGGCCAGGCCTGGACGGGGGGGCTCTCCCCGGGCAGACAGCCAGGAGCTTGCTGGTGACCGGCAGTGCTGGCGCTTGGATTACAGGAGCTGCCCTGGGAGGGGTCTCTGCAGGTCCTCTCTCAGAGGGTCTATAGGGCAGCCCTCAAGGGCAGCTTGCCTCTGTGGCCCCAACGGGAGGGTCCTGCACTGGACGCCTGGGCACAGCCTCACTGCCTAGTGTCTGCCCTGCCAGTGGCACCTGGTGTGAGGGCGTGTGCAAAGAGGACTGAGCGGTAGACGGAGAGCTGGTCTGTGGAAGATCCTCCCCACAGGCGGGGGCGGGGGGAGTGTAATTTTCCCGGCACAGATCAGCATGTGGGAAGGCCCGAAAGGGGAGAGGCTGTGCCCACTCCTGAAGCGGAAGGCCTGCTTGGGGATGGAGACAGTGGGTGGTGAGGGGCACGGTGGCCAGGGCTGAGAGCCAGGTTCTGCAGGGGCTTGCAAGGACAGTCTCATCCGGAGTGAACTGGGAAACCATTGTAAGGGCTGGGGCTTGAACCAGAGGAGTGACTGATAGGTGTGCGTTGTTAAACAGCCACTCCACTTGCCACACGCAGAGGGTGGGGGCGTGGGGGGGCACACCAGGAGGACCAGGCAGACCCTTCTGGGAGAGACAGATCCTAAGCTTGCACTCACATTGAATTCACACAGCCAGCTACACTAAGGCCAAATAGATGCTTAAGCTAAAATTTTACTCATTTCTGGAGAAAAAAATAAACAGGAATAGAAAGACACTTTTAGGGAGAAAAGTGCCTATAAATGTTAAACTAATTTCCCACACTAAATGGAAAATTTTCAAGTCAAAATAAAATTGAGACATTATTTAACATGTATTATTTGATTTTTTGATGTTTACATAGTTGCTCAGGGTCGGAAGAGCATGTGTTTTTAAGTGATGTAACGTATGCAGGAGTGAGGTGAGAACCTGTGATGGGAGGAACGTGTTTGCAGGTGTCATCCAAAAAACCCAGAATTCTCAGGTAGAACAGCGGGTAGAAACATGATGTGTGTGTACAATTAATAGCTCCCTGAGTACTGACATAACTGGCAGAAACCAAAAGAAGGAAATTACAAACACCTGATTCCGACCCCATTACAGAAAGGAAGCGTGTCCCTCCTGGGAGCAGCCAGTGGCATCCTCGCTGAGTGGGGGAGACTGGGACACGCCCTGCAGGGCTGGAGGGGCGTCCCCAGCGCCCAGCTTTGTCCTGGCCCGGCGCTTCCGTGGGAAGCTGCTCACACGTGGGGTTTCATTCTGCCCTGGAGTTACCTGTAGCAGCCCCAGGGCCTGCTGAGCACCCTCTGTGGGAGTGAGGAGGCACAGAGACGTCATCGGGGTCGCCCTGTCCCCATCCTTCCATGCAGGTGCGGGGAGGTCCTGGCTCCTGCAGGGCCCTGCCGCACTTGATACCGTTAGAATCGGTGGAGAGGAAGGGATTGGGCTCCGTACACATTTTAAACTTGTTTACAGAGAAAAGGGGAACGAAAGCTTATTAAAAGCAAAAGCCACAAAGTAGGAAAAGGCGTAATCGGTATAGAGTTGGTGTCTAATTTGTAAAGGATTCATGCAAATGGGAAAGTAATGAAATTCCACATCAAGTATATATGGGATGTGAAAAGACCATGCACCTGCTACAAATTTTGTTGAATTTTGAAGATGTCCGACCTCACTGGTAGTTCTTCAGAAGAATAAGATGGTATTCTCGGTGGCGAGACAGGTAGAGAAGCTTCAAGAATAAAACGTCAGTACCAGTGCTATATGAAGAAAAGACGGACTCGCACGTACAGGATGTAGAAGCTGGCCTGTAGTGGGGCGTGCACCGGGTCGTGGAGGTGCCCCCCCCCCCCGCCCTGCCGCAGCACGTCCCCCCAGACGCCATGGTCTTGGTGAGCTGCAGGTGACGCCCCGGAATGTTGGCCTTGCTTCTGAAGTCCACTGCCAGAGGACACATGCCAGGGCCAGCGACTTGGTGTGTTCTGGCTGGAGCCTTCGGATGGGCTTGCTGCAGCTGACAGCAGCACACAGAAAGTGGGGCCCAGGGCCCTCCGAGACACAGCCTCCTCCAATAGCCGGAAATGACAACTCAAGGCTGTGGGAATAAACGGCTCTCGCTTCACTACTTCCAGAATGAACTGGGTGGCCTGCAGAGCTGCCTCAGAACCCTGCACAAACATCGAAGGGAATGCAAGCTAGGTGATGAGCCCAGAGGGGGTTTTGGAAAATGCTTTTTTTGTGGGGGGGCGGTGGACCAAGACCTGAAATCACAAATGGGTCTGCAGTCAAGGCTGATATTTCCTTGCTACAAAATGCATTACAGATGATGGAGAAAATAAAAGAGAAAGTGATGGAGGGTGTGACTGGTCCTCTGACAGGTGTCCAGGCTGACCTGCGCTGAGGTTGGGGCAGTGCAAGTGGGAGGAGGCTTGGGTGACAGTGTGACAGCTGTGGAACCCCGCGGTGCTGCAGGTGGTTCCTGGGTCCCTTGAGGCCTGCTGCTGCAGCTTGTTTGCACATGAACAACTCGAAAGAGATGCCCTGAATTGTTTTTTTGTGATTAATGTTTTTATCATGCAAATTTTACAGAGAGGAGAGATGGAAAGATCTCCCATCTGCTGATTCAGTCAAGTGGCAGCAGCGACTGAAGCCGAGCTGATCAGGAGCTTTAGGGTCTCCCACACGGGTACAGGGTCCCGTTCTCTGCTGCTTTCCCAGGTGTGTGGCAGGGAGCTGGGTCAGAAGTGGAGCAGCCAGGACTGGAACTGGTGCTCCTACAGGGTGGTGGCCCTGCAGGCAGCAACTTAGCATTCACCTTCCTAGGGAATTGGATAAAGGAGATAGCTATGGATAGAGTGACAGTGCCTGGATGGATGTTTGTAATTGCTGTTCAACTGGAAGAGCAAGTTTAATAGGATACAGAATAAAGCATACGTTCTGAAGACAAATAAGAAAGTCTGGAAGACGGCCCGGGGAACATTTAACTGTGGTTGCTTTCAGGGGTTGGAGAGTTGGGTAGGAGAGGCTGTTTCGTGTACTTTACACGGTGTCTGCGTCCCCAGGAGTGGTGCTGCCTGGCTGGGGACGGCTCCTATGAGGGCTCTGTAAAAGCCAGATGTGGCCAGGGCCAGCTGCACGAGCAGGTAGCAAAATCCGTGCCACTGTCTGAGCTGCCTGTGTTGCACACCAGGAAGGTGTACCCGTCTAAGGGGTAGTGTAAGGTGTTGGCATGTGTGGGGCGCTGTGGGCAGGCTCTGACCCAGACCCATGTCTGCTGCCCTGGATGGCTTGCGACCTCTTGGGGTCTTGATGTTGTGTGAAGTTCTAAAGACATCATCTGGTCCCCCATGTAACTGGCCTGTTTCAAACTGTAAGAAAGGGCTGGTGTAATGACTCATTGCCTAATCCTCTGCCTGCAAGTGCTGGCACCCATTTGATGCCATTTCCATGTCCTGGCTGCTCCATTTCCCATCCAGCTCCCTGCCTGTGGCCTGGGGCCCTGCACCCGCGTGGGAGACCCAGTGGAGGCGCCTGGATTCAGACCGGATTGGTTCAGCTCTGGCTGTGGCAGAACTAGTAGATAGAAGATCTTTTTTGTCTGAACTTTTCTCTGTAAATCTGCCTTTCCAATAAAAATAAATAAACCTTATTTTTTCAAAAGAAACTATAAAAAGTTAAGCTTAATTCAACTAATTGTAGATTACAACATGTGCTAATATTGGTTTTGCCATTTCCTTTTCATATTTTCCACTTGGTAAATTTTTGTCTGTCCTCAGATTTTCCTAGGGCTGTGCCTGCAGGGGAGAGCCCATTGGGGGCACGGCCTGCACGCAGGCTGGGGAGGATTATCAAGGCAGTTGCTGAGCTGGTTTAAGGGGCTATTGGTGCCAGGGGCAGAGACAAGTTGAGATCCCGTTAAGTGGTGGGGTCTGCGGTGGGCCATGTGGGTGCAGGATCCAAAGGCTTTGGGTCATCCTCAACGGCTTTCCCAGCCCACAGGCAGGGAGCTGGATGGGACGTGGGGCTGCTGGGATTAGAACTGGCACCCATATGGGATCCTGATGCGTGCAAAGCAAGGACTTTAGCCACTAGGCTACTATGCCAGGCCCAGATAGCTACTTTCTAAAACACGACACATTAGGAGGGAGAGTACAGTGATGCTGCGTCGGCAGGTCTCTTGATGTGGGGGACATAACTCATGTCTGCTCCCCCTTGGGCTTTCGCAGTGTGTTCATTGAAGAAATCTTGGGTAGCAGAGATGGGAAGGGATTTCCCGGCCTTTTTCCAAATGGGTGGCCTTACGACGTGGTACCAGGATGGGAGAGGCTGCTGTTGGTCCATGGCAACCTATGCCATGGGGACCTGGCCGCCAGCCGGTGGTTTGCGGCCCATGGAGAGTTTGGTTGGCAGGTGCTCATCCTCAGGCTAGGCCAGAGCCCACCCTGGAGGGGTGAGGGGGGACGAAGGCACCTGAGGGGCTCAGGCCTGTTTTTCAGACAGGAAGCTGGTGTCCCCTGGTGCAGGGTGGGTCCAAGGTCACAGCGCTGAGGCCCTATGCCGCTCTGCTGGGTGAGGGGGCCAGGGCATACAGTAGGCTTTCCCTGGGACAGTTCACAGACAAGGCAGACACTGACCTGGCCAGCACCTCGGCAGTTTGCAGCTCTGGTTCCTGGGCCCTGCCTGCTCACGGGCTGCCAGAGGAGGCTGCTCATGGTGGTGTGTGGGTTGCTGCTGGAAGTCACGGGTTGAAGAAGCGAGGCAGGTAGAGTTCCTGGTGATGGAGAAGCCTGTGGCAGTGCTGACTGCTGGACGACCAGCCACAGGCAGCTGGGAATGGTGGGCAGTCCCAGGCTGTGGTGGGCCCTGCATGCATGGGTGACCAGGAGCTCCCCACTCGTCTATATCCTGCACACCTCGGTGCCTGCAGGGACAGCTGGCAGGCCCACGACTGGGTCTGGTCGCAGCCATCCCTGGGCACACAACTGTGCACCCCGTGTTTGCTGGCAGGGCTGGCAGAATCCGGACACCATGCATGGATATGTGCTGTCTAAGTTCTGAGGGTGAAGCTGCCGGGTGTGCCCGCTGCACGCCCAAGAGAATGTCTTTGTCCTTGCTCCCTGGGGAGGTGACTGCCTTGGGGGCTCTCTTTCCTTTCCATGTCCCCGTTGCAGTCAGAGGTTGTGATTGGAGTGTGCACTTGGGCTGTGTTGACGGAGTGTTGGCTGAACTGCAGCAGGTTCTAGCAGAGCCCATCATGACTGTTTGTGCTTCTGTTACAGGTGCTGCCCACGAGGGATCCTCACCAGAGCTGACAGCGCTGCAACCAGGACGGCACGGCTGGTGTGCCGGGCACAAGGACATCCCAGTGGGAGGAGGCTGGGGTTCCCCTGGGAGGAAGACCAGAGCTTGGCTGCGCTTGGGTTTGCACCTTGGGAGCTGCTTGGGGTGTTGACAACTGGGATCTCAAAGTTGTGGTTCCCGGGAAGCGTAGTCTGTGGGTGTGCATGCCACTGCGCCGTGAGCTGTGGCCCCGGGTAAGGGCAGTATGCAGGCAGAGCTCGTGTTTAGGGACGCAGGCAGGGAGTGGCGCAGGCCGACCGCCCACTCGCCCTGTGGAGTGAGCCTGAGCTAGGCGGCCGCCATGGCCGAGTGAGGGGCTGGGGGAGCTCGCCGTCAGGACGTTTCCCCTCCAGCCACGATACCAAATAGCGAAGATGATCTACAAGTGCCCCATGTGCAGGGAGTTCTTCTCCGAGAGAGCCGACCTCTTCATGCATCAGAAAATCCACACGGCCGAGAAGCCCCACAAGTGCGACAAGTGCGACAAGGGCTTCCTGCACATCTCGGAGCTCCACATTCACTGGCGAGACCACACGGGGGAGAAGGTGTACAAGTGTGACGACTGTGGGAAGGACTTCAGCACCACAACAAAGCTCAACAGACACAAGAAAATCCACACGGTGGAGAAGCCCTATAAGTGCTACGAATGCGGCAAGGCCTTCAACTGGAGCTCCCACCTCCAGATCCACATGCGTGTGCACACCGGGGAGAAGCCCTACGTGTGCAGTGAGTGTGGCAGGGGCTTCAGCAACAGCTCCAACCTCTGCATGCACCAGCGTGTGCACACGGGCGAGAAGCCCTTCAAGTGTGAAGAGTGCGGCAAGGCCTTCCGCCACACCTCCAGCCTCTGCATGCACCAGCGTGTGCACACGGGCGAGAAGCCCTACAAATGCTACGAGTGCGGCAAGGCCTTCAGCCAGAGCTCCAGCCTCTGCATCCACCAGCGGGTGCACACGGGCGAGAAGCCCTACCGGTGCTGTGGCTGCGGCAAGGCCTTCAGCCAGAGCTCCAGCCTCTGCATCCATCAGCGGGTGCACACGGGCGAGAAGCCCTTCAAATGTGACGAGTGTGGCAAGGCCTTCAGCCAGAGCACAAGCCTGTGCATCCACCAGCGGGTGCACACCAAGGAGAGGAACCATCTCAAGATAGCAGTTCTGTGAGCCCTCCACTCAGTTCCGACTCCTAACACCCACAAGTGCCACTAGGAAGGAAGCCCTGTGTACCTGACGCAGCCCGGGAACTGTGCAGCAGCCCCTGGCGGAATGCTCTGAGGCGGCGTGCGCTGGGTTGCCTCCTGGGTTCATGCCAGGCGTATGTCATGACATGGCCTTGACCGTGGTGTCCCTGTGAGTGTCCACCTGTTACAGGCGGCTGGGTCCCGGTCAGGGCTGCGTGTGGGCCTCCTGCTGGAAGCTGGCACATGTGGAGACCGTGCAGCTGCAGGCAGTTCCTGGCTGCCCATCGCTCACCCTCTGGCCTCTCCCCACAGGAGCTCCCAGCCCTGCCTCTGTAATGGGGTGATGGAGCCCACGGTTCTTCGGGGTTTCCACTGATTCAGCCCGCATAGCTTCCACATGTCCCCGTCTGTCCTCACTGCGCCCCTTCCTAGGTGGCATTGAATTTCAGTCAGCCTGTAGGTGACCCCAACCCGGTCACTGGCCTGCCGGGGAAGCGCTGTAATGGTGTGGATCTCTAACCAGTCACTGTGCCCTGTCACTCAGATGGACTGTCCAGTGGCCGCATCACATTTTTTAACTTGAATTTTTCCAAACTAGCTGAATGTAAATAGGAAGAAGCAAGCCGAGGGGGATTTAGTGCATCCAGGACGCCCCGTTCCCCTCGCCCTGCGGGCCATGCAGTTCTTGCTGACCGGGGAACCCCACTGAGCGCGGAGGGTGTGATGTCTAGGAGAATTTTCTGCATGGGTGAGGGTGATCGTGGGCGGCTACGTGTGCAGCGTTCCGTCCCCCTTGCCAGGGTTGCAGGCCAGTTTCCTCTGGGGCCTGGACATCTGATCATCCACTCCTGTACTTATTGAGCACCTGCTGGGCCAGCAACACCTGAGGGACGCGGCAGTGGCTGCTCAAGTGGCTTCCGGCACAGAAGATGGGCTAGCAAGTACGTAATGTAGTTTGAGGTAGTGGTTAAGTGGTAAGAAGAAAACTGGGGGGTGGGGCAGGGCGGGGGGCGGCAGTAGCTAGTGGTCAGGGAAGCCTTGGTGGGCACTCGCTCCGGCCCTGCCCTCGGTGGGGGACAGGAAGAAGAGCTGGGCTGGGGCAGTGGCTGCGGGAGAGACGCCAGCGCAGGCCTGCCCTGGGCCTGTTGGGTTGGTGGGTTTGCTGGGGTGATGGTGGTGCAGGGACTCGCGGACTGTCCGAAGACCAAAGTCCCCAAAGACAAGAACAAAATGCATCCGTGTGTGTCACTTGGTTTCCTTTGCATTCTGTTGTCGCTGGTTCCCCACGCAGTCCTTTTGCTCAGGAAGTCCTTGGGGACATGTAGGCTCTTTGGAGCTCTGAGTGGGTGACAGTCCCTGGTGTCTGGACACAGGTGGGATGCTGACGCAAGCCTTGGTTTTTCTCTTTGGATTTGGATTTCTGCTAAACTGGAGGGCAGTTTGTGTAACTAACACCTGTACACAGCAGGGGGATGGGCTGAGCCACCAGTGGCTGACCTTGGTCCAGGTGTGCCCACTGGCAGTCCCTCCGCAGGCGGGTGCTGGCGCAGGGCCCTGCTGAAGCCCCTGCCAGGCCCAGTTGGCACAAGCGCCTTCTGACCCCTTCCCTGTGGTGGTAACTTGGAGTGTTTGAGAGAAACCTAGACTTGTAGTTGACGGCCAGCTGAAAATATCATGGATAGAATTTTAGTTTTAGGAGAAAATCCATTTGATTTCTAGCTTTCCTACGTTTAGGTATGTGAGCTTGGGCGAATCACTTCCTGTCTGGGTCTGAGTTCTCACACGAGGAGGCGGGCAGCCTCCGTGCTTTCCGCGTCTTCCCGCTAGTACTAGAGTTCTATATTTCTACATAGTTGAATTATTTTATCATGCTGTTGCTGGGGAGTATGACTAACACTTTGGAAGCTACTAATTTTATGTCAAGCTTTAAAGTCCATAATTGTTATCTTCAGAAAATATTATTTGACCTACAGTATGTCCAAATCAATTTAATAAAATCACTTTATAACAGGGTCTGTGCCTGGTGTGCAGCTGTGTGAGTTCAGTGGGGGAGGGAGGGCTGAGAGGAGGGGTAGACTACATTTATACACGAGGATTTTACACAAAATCTCATCTTCAAACGCTAGCAATGCTTGCGTGTCCTTTTCTGCCCTCTGTCCCCAGTGCCGTCCCCCAGCCCTGCTGTGGCCCTCTGGTCCTCGCCCACTCACCCATCAGCGCTCGGCGTCGGCTGGCTTCATGGTGCAGGGCCGAGGAGCAGCCCCGAGAGAGGGCCTTGTCCTAGTACCTCCCAGGGTGTAGGGGGGCAGCTCCACTTCCCATCCAGCTCCGCTCCTGTGGCCTGGAAAAGCAGCAGAGGACGGCCCAGGTGTAAGACACGGAGAAGCCCCTGGCTTTGGATCGGCCCAGCTCTGGCCGTTGCAGCCATTTGGGGAGTGAGCCAGTAGGTGGAAGGCTTTTGTCTCTGTAAATGTGCCTTTGCAATAAATCTTTTAAAAAAGGAAGAACGCTGTTGAATCAAAACTCAGGAGTCTGTGATGTGAGGGTGCATCACAGCATGTCACAACAGCACACAGTGGGCCTGCACCCCATGAGCCTCCATGCACATAGTGGACCTGCATTTTATGACTCAGTGCACAGTGGGCCCGCACCCTGTGGCCCTTGGCACACAGCAGGCCTGTGCCCCGTGATGTACCACACAGCGGGCCCGCATCCTGTGACCCTCAGCGCACAGTGGGCCTGCCGGTCCCTCAGTGCCTGTGAACCTGGCTCACCATCACAGTCTTGGTACCCATCCCCCACATGCAGGCCCATCATGGGAAGCCATGCCATGTCAGCATCGTGAGTAGGGGTGATGTCTGCTGTGGTAACCCGTGTCCTGCCCGCCTTCCTGGCTCAGTTTTGAATGGGAATGACTTGAGCTCACACTCCCTGAGCAGATGTGAGCCACATGGGGGGCTGGCTTACTGGGCATGGGGCAGCTGGGCCCGGAAGGGAACTGTCCTGGGCCGCTCTGCAGAAGTTGGGTGGGGGGGGGGATGGGTAAACTGGCGTCTCCAGCAGTTGGGGTTCTTCATATACTGGGGGTGAGGAGGAGCGGTGCTTTCCTTGTACAAGATATGCAGACTGAGTGACATTTGTGGGGTCGCCCATCCCACACGGGAAGCAGTGCTGTTCTTGCTGCAACCTGGAGATGCCTACGAGCAGGGCTGCGAGCCAGGTGCCAGCATCACCACGTGGAGGGCTGCCCGTGCCCCAGCTGCTGTGGGGCCCCTAGCCAGCCCACACCCTGGGTGCCGTGGGGCTCCCGGTCAGTGTTGTGGGGCTCCTGGCCTGCCCATAGCCCGGCTGCCATGGGGCCCGCAGCCAGCCCATACTCTGGGTGCCGTGGAGACCCTGGGTGCTGTGGGGCTCCTGGCCTGCCCACATCCCGGCTGCTGTGGAGACCCTGGCCTGCCATTGCCCCAGGAGTGGAGGCTCACAATGGCGCCCTCCTACGCTTTACTGGAGAGATGGAAGAGAAAGTGAGTCTTAGCCAGAGATGCACAGGTTAGAAAATTCCTGCCCTCTGGCTCCATTGCCCCCACCTGGCGATGCTGCATCAAGCTCACCATTGCTTCCAGTGCCCATCTGCACGGCCTTGACCACCACAGGTGCCGGAGCACCCAGCTAGTGCATCGTGGGACATGGCAAAGTAACACCCAGAATGCCGCCATGCTGGGAGTTGAAGGTGCCGAGACGACACGTCTCATACAACTCTGGTGCTACCAGCAGGAAAAGGTTTTGCTTTTGCGCAGGGCAGGGCATCCTACCAGGTAATGGAGCAATAAGGCTGGCTGTCCCACCAGGCCATGCACCAGCAGGGAGCCCACAGATTGGAAAGGTGGGAGGGGGAGACCCCAGGACTAGGGGGTGAGTGTGACACAGGGCACTTGCCCCATGTGGGAAGCCTGGGGCCTTGGAAGTTGAACTATCAGCAGGCTCCTTTTGGTGGCCAGGCTGCACTGCCAGGCTGCAGCCACCAGGGGACACTTGTTGGCTTCCAATGAGCCAACAGGGATGGAAGCTTCCAGGAAGCTCTCCCCTCTGTTTCCCTTCTGCTGGACTCCCTGATGACATCAGTCCCACAGCTGGAGAAACGCTCACCACCCCCACCCGCTCTACCATGCCTACTTCCTGCCCAGGGAGGAGAGGCCCCAGGTATCCCCAAGTCTGCCTGGGGAAGTTGGGATGGGTGCAAGCAGGAGCAAAAGGCAAGAGGCCAGAAGGTTCTGGAAGACCCTGGGGATGTGTGGGGAGGCCCAAGGGCGGGTTGGAAAGTGGGGGTTCCCTCACTGTGCAGCTCACCTGTTGTGGAGTCGGGGTGCCACTCCTCCAGGGAGAGAGGAGTTGGGAGGCTCAGCTCTCAAAGACAGCATGGCTGTTCTGGAATGTTCCAGGTCCTCTGGACGTTCTTGCAGTCAGACTCTGGGATACAGTCAACCATGAATGGTAAAAAATGAACGTAAGTGCTCTGACATTTGCTGAACCCCAGAGAACAGCCTCGTGGAGAGTGGGGCCGTGGCAACAGGTGGGTTGGGGGTTGTCCTGTCTGACATCCGGGCAGGCACTGCTTGGGGCGCCCCCACCCCCCACTCTCTCCTGGCACTCCCGCTCTGCTCTGTAGTTCCAACACGTCACCCACGTCCTTTAACGACAGAGCCAGCCTGTCCCTTGTAGAGGCCGTCTTCTTGACCAAATGACCAGTGTGTGCGGAGCGGTGGGAGGTCCTGCCCGGGGTCCTGTGACCATGGGGAGGGCGGTCAGAGCTTCCTGTGACCCTGCCAGGGCTGCGGACGACACCACACCTCGCCTCCTGCCCTGTGGCCACTCAGGATCGCCCCTTGCCCCGGAGGAGCGGCAGGACGTCAGACGGGCCACCTGGGGCAGGGGCGCAGCCGTGTCCACACGCACCCGCCTGGGGCCGGACACTCTGTCCCGTCACTGTGTCAAGGCACGCTTGTTTGTGCAGGTGTTGCCCCTGGCTCTTCCACAGAGCAGGGTGTGTGTGAGGACACTTGGCACGGTGCCCACGCCAGGGGACAGCCTGTGGCCGACTAACGCCCCTCCCGTGGGCTCAGCTCGCCTTCCTGCGAGAAACGTGCCTGGCTTCCTCGTGAGGAAAGAGCCGGAGGGGCGCGGCGGGACCCTCGGGCTCCTCCCTGGGCCCAGGCCCCCAGCCTCGCCCCTCGCCCGTGAACATCCTCACGAGGTCAAAAAGGAGCTGCAGGCTCACGTGTCCCCCTCCAGCTCAGGGCCACACCAGGACAGGGACGCCGCCCGAGCCCTCCACTCCCTGCCTGTGGCTTGGGAGTCGGCCGAAGGCTTGCCGAGTGCGAAGCGAAGGGAGTAGAAGTGAAAAGCCCCTTCCTGGGACAACGAAGGCAGAGGCAGCTGCTCTGCTTCCCCGTGGCGTCCTGGCACACTCCCAGCGGCCTCCCTCAGCCTCGCTCACCCACAGCAGCGTGTCCACCAGGGGGCGGCCATGCCCGGCACCCTGGGCACGCAGGCCCAGCTCCCCAACCCCGCCATCCTCCAGCTCTTCATGGTGCTGTGAGTCTGGCCTTGAGGGCTGGAGCAGCCACCCTGGCATGGGGTACCTGGACAGGCTGGTGTAAGTCCACATGGCCACCCAGCAGCTCACACTGGGGCCTAGAACTTGCTCCACTGGTCACCTGTTGAGATGGCAAGAACCTGGATGTATCAGACTAAATCACACCTATTGATTAAGCTAACATCACCTCTTATTAAAATGTGGCCTCGTGACCCAACACTGTAGCCTAGCGGCTGAAATTCTTACCTTGCACTTGCTGGAATCTCATATGGGCACCAGTTCCTGTCCTGGCGGCCTCTCTTCCCATCCAGCTCCCTGCTTGTGGCCTGGGAAAGCAGTCGAGGACGGCCCAAAGCCTTGGGACCCTGTGTTGCCAGCCGCATCTGTATGCACTGGCCACATGCTGTACCCAAAATGGCGCCGGCCGGAGAAGCCACACCTGGTGGAGAGTCACGTAGCTTTCGCGGTACTGCGCAGGCGCCTAGCACATGCGCAGTGAGCTGCGGTGCGGCAGGCGCGTGAACACTGGGGACTGACGAATCCGGTCGCCCAGGACCCTGCGTGATCATGACGCCGACCTATCATCGGCGGAGGCGGGGCCAGTCAGCACATAAGAGCAGGCAGCCTGCCGGGGTGGGGGGGGGGCCCTTTCCTCTTCCTCATCTTGGTGTGCACAATAAATTTTACCGCAGAAGGCTTCACTCGCGTCTGCCTCTTATCGCTGGACGATAAGACACGTGGGCGCAACAACCCTGCACCCGCGTGGGAGACCCAGAAGAAGCTCCTGGCTCTCGGCTTCGGATCAGCTCAACTTCAGCTGTTGCACTCACTTGGAGAGTGATTCAGTGGACAGAAGATCTTCCTCTCTGTCTCTCCTTCCCTCTGTATATCTGACTTTCCAACAAATAAATAAGTAAATAAATCTTTTTTTAAAAAAAAGGTGGCCTCTGGGGAAACCATGAACATGTTCTGTGGCATCTTCTATCTCTGCTGGTCAGGGCCGCTCGAGCCCCAGCTGGGTCACTGGGTACGGGCCCGATGTAGCGCTGCCTGTCTACACAGGCAGATACCTCCAAGGGCCTGCCGGGGACCGGGGAGCATGGACAGAACCCCAGGGCAGCACGAGCTGCGGGTGGGTGGCCATTCCGTGAAGGAGGGGCAGGGCTCTCACAGACACACAGTCACTGGGGAGTGAGGGCCTAGGTTGGCAATGACCTTGGCAGGGGCTGGCAGAGGAAGGACAGATGGAGAGAAATGAAGCCATTAGCCCACTCAGGCAAACTGTGCCTTAGGACTCGGAGACAGGACGATGCTGCCCTCGGGTGCTGCAGCGGAGGGAGGCCTCTGGCTGCAGATGGGGCACACAGACCGTGAAGGAGCCACGCCTGGCCTCGGTGGGCCACGCAGAGACCAAGCAGGC